ACGGTGGAACACATTTATTAGTTTGCATATGTTGAACCATCCTTGCATCCCTGGGGTGAATCGCACTTGACTATGGTGAATAATCTTTCAAATGTGCTATTGGATTCAATTGGCCAGTATTTTGTTGGTAATTTACACATCTAAGTTCATCACAAATGTTGGACTGTAGATTTCTTTTTGGTTGTGTCACTGTCAGGTTTTCACAAGGTAATACTTGCCTCAGAGAATGAATCTGGAAGAATTCCTTCCATTTCTTTCACTGCTAGAACTCTGGAGTGAAGCCATCTGGTCTTGGGCCTTTCTTAGCGCAAGTCTCATACATTTTTGGTCAGTTCAAGTTTTCTATTTCTTCACGATTCAATCTTGGAAGAGTGTATTTGTCCAGGAATTTTTCTCTTTCTAGATTATCAAATATTTTTGTTATATAGCTGTTCATAATAACCTCTAATGAGGCTCTGTATTTTATTTCTGTGGTATCAGTTGTAAAATCTCCTTCTTCACTCTTGGTTGTAATTATCTGAGTTTTTCTCCTTCTTAGTTTAGCTAAATTTTTGTCAGTTTTCTTTCAAAGAATCAGCTCTTGGTTTCATTGATCTTTTTATTGTTGTTCTATTAGTTTTTGCCTCTATTTCACTTTTTTCCTACTCCAATTTTTAGTTCTACCTTTTATTAATTTTGAGTTTTGTTTTTCTAGTTTCTTGAGGTGCAGCAATAGGTTGTTCAGAATTTTTCTGCATTTTCAATGTGATCAGTATAAACTTCCCTCTCAGTACTGATTTCCTTCTACCTCAATAGTATGTTGTGTTTTCATTTTAATTTAGTTCAATAAGTACTTTAATTTCCTACTTGGTTTCTTTCTTGATCCATTCATTGTTCAAAAGTAAGTAATTTAATTTCTATTTTTATTGTTTCCAAAGTTCTTATTATCAATTCTGTTTTCTTGCATTGTGGTTGGAAAAGACAATATGATGTAAATTTTTAAAAGTTTGTTGAGACTTGTTTTGTGGCCTAACATGTGGATCTTTCTGAAGAAAGTTCCTTGTGCTGCTGAGAAGAATGTAGTGGGTAGTCTGCATTTGCTGAATGGAATGTTCTCTAGATGTCGTGTGGTGTAGGATGCAATTTAACTCTGCTGTTTCTTTCTTGATCCTATCTGGTGGGAGTTTCTCAAAGTGGAGTGTTCAAGTTCCTTCTATTACTATATTAGAGTCCACCTCTCCAAAAGGCCTATGGATATTTGCTTTACATATTCAGGTACTCCAATACTGCTATTTCCTCTTGCTGAACTAACCCTTTATCAATCAACATATGACATCCTTGTTTCCTTTTACTGCTTTTGATTTAAAGTCATTTTATCTAGTCCATTTATATGGTTACTCTCCTTGTTGGATTCCATCTGCATGGAATACTATATTTCATTCCTCTAGGTTCAGTTTCTGTGTCCTTAGATGTGACATGAGTTTCTTCAAAGCAACACAGTCAGGTCTTGTTTTTGAAATCTTTTCAGTCACTGTGTCTTTTATTTGGAGCCTTTAATCCATTCTATCTGAGTTAGTAATTTTGTAACTGCTTTCAGGTTTACTGCAGTTCCTTTATTTGTCCTTCTCTTACCATCTTCCTTTGTGGTTAAATGATTCACTCTACTGGTGAGTTTTGATTCCTTATTATTATTTTTATTTTTTGGTTTGTCTGTTACAATCTTTGTTTTGTGGTTACCATGAGGCTTTATGAGAAGACATTTTCTGCTTGTTTATTTCTATTAATTTTTGAGACAGGGTCTTGATATTTTTCATAGATGGCCTTGAATTTATAATTCTTTTGCCTTAGTCTCCTGAGTGTTTGGGGTTACAATCTCACAAGGACATGTTTTGAATATAATAAGCTATCTTGAAATAATAACTATACGTGAATGTAAAGATACAAAAGATAAAATAATTAGAAAATAATTTTAAAAATTAGAAAACCTCTATATTTGCACTCTTTTCCACTCATTTTGATTTTTTCATGTTCCACTTTTATATCTTTCTTTATATCTTTTCAGCTCTACCCATTCCAAGATATCTTTCCGTATCTTTTAAAATGCAATAAGGTAGACATTTTTAAGATTTGGGGTTTTTTTAATACTAAACATATGGTTTAAGCATCATGTTTACAACATGAGAACATTCTAAATTTGTATTGTTACTTTTACTAGAGAGTTTTATACTTTCTAGCCTTTCCTTCTTCCTCATTAACATATCTTTCAGTTTGAAAAACACCTTTATAACATTTCTTACAGGATAGGATTGGTAGGAATACATTCCCTCAGCTTCTGTTTATCTGGTAATGTCTTTATTTCTGCTTCATTTCTAAAGAATGGCTTTGCTACATACAGTATTCTTGATTTTCAGTTTCTTCCTTTAGCTCTGTGACAATCTCATGCCAGTCTCTTCTGATCTGTAAAATTTCCGAGAAGTCAGCTGTCAGGAGAATTGGAACACCCTTATTTGCAATTTTTTTCATTTGGCTTGGGAATCTTCTTTTTATCATTGGAAATTGAGATATTCAATATAAGATGTCTTGGGGTAGTTTGGTTGAGTTGAATCTGACTGTTCACATTTGACCTTTCTGTATCTGCATTTTGTATTCTTTCTAGGTTTAGGATGTTTTCTATCTTTTTAAAATAAGCTTCCCACCCCTTTAGCATTTGCAAGTGCCTCTTGAGCCTGAATATCCCCATGTCTGATCTTTCCCAAAGTTCCCATGTTTCTACATGAACAAGACTTTCAAATTAAACACTCCACAATTAGAATTTTCCCCACTGTAGACTCCTCTTCCCTCCGATATCCCAGGGGTGATGTGAAACTAGAGATTGTATTGCAAGCAGCCCTTGAAATACTGACATGAGCTTCTGTAAATGACCAGGTGGCTCAGGACCATGTGCTCCGCCAGCACAGGCCCATTCTCCTACTCCACCTGCTTCAGGTATTGGGGCTGACAGACGGCTCCACATGGCAGTAAAAACTTCTGTGAGCTTTATAAAGGACTCTCCAGGAAACTTACTTTTCCCTCAAAGGGAAGTACTGGTTGAAAATGCAGGGATGCAAGCCACCTAAATGTGGAGTTCAAGAACACAGCTGTCTTGGGGTGGAGGCCAGGTGAGGGAACAAGCCACACAGTGGACACACACTTCTCTCAAGCTTTTTGCCCAAACCCAGCCATCCTGCCAGGCTGGCCCACTGGAGGAGAGCAGAGTCCCTGGCAAATGCTCGGGAGCCCCAAGCTCCTGACTTCAGTCTGTGCATTGCCCTCCTCTTTTCCTTCAAGTTGGTAGTAGAAGCTCATGACTCCAAAAATCCAGAGCTCACAGTCTACAGCCCTGATTTCTTGGTACCCTTTGCTTTTGAGAGCGATTAGCTCCTGCAAATAACCAACAGCTCTCCCCCAGCTACCCAAGTGGAGTCCACCCCAAAGCCTTAGGAAGCAACTTGCCAGATACAGACAAAAGAACACAGACCCAATTCTGCACTGGCCAGAAGGTAGCAAGGGACCACATGAGGCACTTCACATTTTTATTACCCTCCAGGATCTGAAGTACACAGAATGGAGAGGTGGTGTGACATGACAGGTTCTAGGTTAAATGATATGCATGCTCTGAGAGAGCCTGGGGCCAAGCCTCCGCAGGGCCTGTGGATGGGGGAACGGCACCAAGCCCTTGACTGCTACATGCACACAATAGTGCAAGTTAACATGGGATGACCAACTAGAACACACTGCATGACAAGTTAAACTGTTAAAGCGAATACATAATGACAGAAAACAACACAAAAAATGACAACTTTGAGGGGCAGTTTCCGGCTGTGGAGTTCTGATGGCTCATAGTTTCAGTTCATTGTTTCTTTTGAGTTTTATCAGTTATCCACTCAGGATTTAGGGAGAGGTGAACTCTCAAAGCAGCAACTAATGACTGTGTTTAAAAAAAAAAAAAAATTCTTAAAAATGGCAGAAAACGAAATCCTGCTAGCAATGGGATTTGGTTCAAGATGAAGGAAATTAACATGCTTACCTTGTCTTCTTCCCAAATTTCCACTGAAGTAGATCAATAGGGGGAACAAGAAAAGCCACGTGGAGACCAGAGACAAGGCCTTCTGAAAGCAGAGGGCAGGAGTAAGCAGGTACCCAGAGCAGGGCTGGGTAGGTGGGACTAGTAATAGGGGCACTCAAAGGGCAGTGGCTCCCCAAGTACCCCCGAGTTTCAAATTCGGTGGGTATGGATGAGGTTCCAGAATCTGCGTGTCTAATATGCATTTGAGAACTGCTGGTCTAGGAGCAGCCCACCACCCTCCCTCTCTCATACTGGGCAGGATAATCAAGGACAGCCTGGATGAGGGCTCAGCCTACTTTGTGAGGAGGTACACAAGTTACCTGAATGGACCCTGCTCAAGTCCTAATGTCCTTCACAACAAAAGGGGACACATTTGTGTAAAACTGAATTGTATCTTCTCCCCCTCACTCTTCACAACTCTACCTTTGTCTGTAAACTGACTGCAGAACAGTGATGGTTCAACTCACTAAGATTTACAAGCATATTAACATAGAAATTCATGATATGAAAGTAGGCATTCCTTAAAGTTCTGTTCAGAGGGGCAAGAAAATGAACTTCCAGTGTGGTTCACAATTGCACACCCTGAATTTTTTTTTGTGAGAATGTGTCAGGCAAATGGAAGGAAGCAGGAAACTTGTGCCCAAAGTTGATGGCTGGTACCTACATTTCTAGAACATAACACTGAAAACACTGTTGCACCTCCAGTCTTGGTGAGACAGGTAGATTAGATTCACATTTGTGACTTCTTTTCACACAACTCCTTCATAATGTGGCTATACAGGACAGAATGTGCCAGGATCTTACCTGATAGGCAGGGAGCATGCTCACTGCGGGTAGGATTGTGCAGCTGGGGTGAGCTGAAAGTTCCAGACCTGATTACCCATGGTCACCTATCACTGCCAATAACCCACCCGGATTTTTTTTTTTTTTTTTGGCAAAGCATTTTGCTTTAGGACCATTTAAAAAAAAATCACCAGAAAAGAATTTGGCCAAACATGCAGAGCACCTGCTGCTTGTTTCTTTTTTGAAATATGCTCTTGAGTGACATTGGCTTCACATGCTATCCTGCCCACACTGCCCACACTGACTCCTGGAGCTACTGAGCCTAGGCAATAAGATTAGTGCTCAATATGAATGGAGACAGATGTGGTTTCCTGGAAGACAGGCTGGGAGCACAGCCCTTCATGTCTCAGCCCTATTCCAATGAGGGTGCCTGCTGGCCTCTGGCTTCACTCACAGGCAAGCCTGCAGCGCCCTCTGGTGGCCACAGTGAAGGCCCTTGTGTTCACATAGCATACATTCTGGTTTCATTCTTTTCCAATTAAATTTGCTGAATTCCATGGGCACTTAGGATCTTAAAAAAAACAAGCGAAAAATTGGACAGAGAATTCTGCGTGCAAAATCATCACTGGAATGTCATCAGCCCAGCACATTGGGCTGATTCTAAACTTAAAATGCAAAGCCAGGGATTGTATACGAATGTGTGTGGCAAGTGAGGGTCAGCTAGTATGATCACTAAGATTACTCTGTCCTCTGTTCACCACCCCTCCTCATCCTCTAGCTCCTTCGACTTCCTACACCATGATCACTATGCCCAGGCACAACAGGAAATGCTGCTAGTGCAGCAGCCCGGCCTGCTCTGAGTCGCTCCTGTCAGCTCCACACTGCACGGTTTATTAGGCTGCATAGGACCCAGCTCAATCAAGATACCTAGTATCTGTGCACTTCTGCAGACCCCAGACTCCAGCCTACAGCCCCATCCAACTCCAGATTTGTTTGCTGTATGGTTCAAATCAAACAACACTACAGCAATGCTCTGCTTGGTTACTAGAAATTAAGTTTAAAATTCTTTTAACCTTGGAAGGGTATGGAGCACACGGGCAACTCCAGGCCTACTTATAATCAGCCCACAGCATGGAGCAGATCCTAACTAGTGAACTTGGGGTACCACATTGGTTGAAGTGCAGCAACCAGGAGTTCTCAGTGGCAGACGATAGCAGTGTGCCTGTTCTCCTTGAACTAAAAACACAGAATGCTGCTGAGATTAAAACATTAGATCCACCTGATACACTCACACAGGCAAAACCTCACAGCTGTGTCAGCAGACTGCTCCTCCATCTCCTACTTGCCTCCCATTCACAGTAAACCCAGCATCCTGAGGGATAAGCTCATCAAGGTCACTCCCACCCACTGATGCCTAACCTCACCCCCCCACCCCGGGACCTGGAAGCTCCTGGCAAGGGCAAAATCCATTACCCAGCTTCCCCCAAGCCTGCCTGCCTGCCTGCCTTGTTTCCTCCTCCACCCTCTCCCATACCACCTCAAATTCTAGGTCGGCCAAGGGAAGTTATTTTTCTCCTAACGTGAATACACAAATATAGATCTGTAAACAGCCTCCATAGGCTGCCAATTTCCAAACCTCTCCCCTGGTCCTTGGGCAGAACTTCACCTGTAAAGATTCCTTGTCACTGATGCCTGCATGTCTCAGGGCTCCTCTGTCAAATGGAAAGCATAGCATTTGTGACTTTAATTATCAAACCTGTACCCCTGTGCCCCACCCCAGGTGCCTGCCCAACTCACTAACCTGGGACTATTCCTAGACTCCCTCCTGCTCCTCACCCCCCACTTAATGGATATAGCATTGATTCCACCCACAATAGGTTTTATTTATTTTTGGTTTTGTGGTGCTGGGGGTGGAACCCAGGGCCTCCTGTATGTGAGGCAAGTGCTCTACCACTAAGCTACATTCCAGCCTCCACCACAGGTTTAAATCTACCTACCATTGATTGTCTACACTGCCATTGCTGCAGGTCCCCTTACAGGTCTTTCTGGTTCACTTCTCAGTCTTTGCACATCCCTTCATCTCAAAAAAGACTTAGTGAACTCCAACTTACGTGACATCTCTGTTCAACTCTTCCTTGAAGCCTTGGGTTCCAAGCACCGTGAATGTGTTCCCAGCTGGGGGTCAGGTGTTCAAGTCCAAAATGACTGTTAGATTCCTTTCTAACACAATCTTATGGACATTTGTCCTGTGTTGTGGTCACAGCAACTGCCTTTTGGCACACAGTACATTTTTCACCTCACAGGGCCAACCTCAACCATACACAGGGACACTCCTCCTGTGTGTTCAAGACTGGCTTCCTCTTTCCAGGTCTTTTCAGCATCAACTCCTCAAAAAAACCTGCTTCGCACAGAAAAGAGAGAGGTTTTCCCACTCTTCTCCACTGTGTGCTCCATGGTTTCTTAATATGGCACCTCACCAGATTCATAATGCTGTATTTATTGGGTAGTTCCTTAGAAATTTTCTCTTCCCACAGATCATAGCTCTGTGAGAACCTGTTTCTCAACTGCCCTGACCAGGTCCTCCCAGCCAGGCACCTGGCAGACATGCCCAATGCACACTGGTGGAAAGCATGACCACACCAACAAACAACTTCCAGAGCTTCAAGTTATGTCTGTGTGCCAGGTTTCTGTTCTCGCTACTAAAAGGCTCAGGGGTCACTCTAGTTAAACTGGGCTAACTGGGCTGCACAAAATAACCACACAAGAGACACAAATACCTTTTTCTTTGGGGTTGCTGTGACGGCTCCTCTGACCTTATGGGTCCACAGAAAGAGAGAGCGAGCACGCGCTGACCCCTTTTATTGAGGAGAAACTATTCAAATGAGGCAAGGGGTCAGGTTTCAGGGGCTGAGTCTATCTTCATGATGTCCACTGTCAGCAGGTTGACTGACACCTGGGTAGGCCACACCCAAGGGCACAGTAAGAGGAGGGGACACACACAAGGCACTTCCATGGAAGATTCTATCCTAAACCGGGCAAGGGGTTATATTACAAAGGAACAGGTGAGCATAGCTTCTCCCATGGGGCTATAGCAAGACACACCCATTTCTGTGACTGAGCGCCTCAGCACCCAGCTGGGGAGTGTAACTCAGTCACCCAAAAGGTTGGCCTCCCACATCTGTGATGCTTAGGAAAAGAGGCAGAAGGATTAGCAGAAGAGTTGTCAGATGAAGTTTTTTTAAAAGGGCAGCAATTATAATTAAATTATAATTAAAAAACAAATCAAATCCTGAGAGCCATTCAGCACTTACCTGGCATCAACACGGAGCACCGGCTCAGTGAGTGCCCAGAACTAACTCAGCACTGGCAGTGCAGCACCTGTGCAGGAGGCGAGGCTCCTAAGGGATGGCCGTTTCCTTCTGGCCTGGGTTACAGTATTTTCTTCATCTTTGATAGAGAAATTCCAAGTGTCACACTTTAATAATCATAACAACAATGTGCATGGCTTACTTTTATTTTTTATTATAAAAAACACATACAAGAGTTTTAAGAAATGATGAATATAAGACAAATCAGAATCACGGTGAGTTATTAAACCCATTTTCTATATACAAATACTAAAATTCCGAAAGTGGAATATCATCCAATGTGAGACACATCATAGCACTGTCCGTATGTACACAGCACACAGAGCTCTGCTGCGGTCACCGCGGAGTCACTCATATACATGTTCTGATACAAAAACCTGCAGTGGAACATCTATGGTTCAGTTCCCTTCCTGATATATAGTTAAATATTCTTAAGAACCCTTTAGAGATATGAAGATGCAGTAAAGTAAATTTCTGCTGACAGCTCTCAATGTTTTACTGTGGTCAATTAAACACATCTTGAGAGAAACTTCTGTAGCCCATTTCCAGCTAAGAGAGCGGAAGACTCTTTTATTTCTTTTTTAGCCAATTTGTTTCTTCCTAGTCACTATATGAGCATAAAGCCCAAAATAGCCCAGGAACCAAATCTTGTTTTTATATTGTTAAATTCATTATAAAATGCCACTCGACTTTTAAAAGCCACTAAAAGGACACTTTCTGCAGCAAAAAAAGGGCTAGGTTCAAGTGTTTGTTGTTTGACCAAGACACAATTACACAATCCATGTCACATGATCACAACAGCCAAAGTGAAATGTATGTGGTTTAGGAAAGAACAATTACACAGCCGCCTGCTCTCCCTGCCCACGCTGGGGAGGGCTGCTGCCACTCTACCTACTTCACGTCTGGACCTCACGCTGTATTCCTAAAGCTGAGTAGTGTACGGACAGCGGATGTGTCAAGGCACTTCTCCAGCCGCAGCGGCCCCTGCCTTCAGCTGAGCCCCTCCACACTCAGGGAGCCGACTTCTTCCAGGCAGCTGACGACTGCAGATGGGATGCTGCTGGAGGTCTGTCTCCGCCAAGCTTCTAGGATCTTGGAAATTTCCACTGGGTTGCTGGGACTCAAGTCACAAAGAGCATATACAGCTGCTAACTGTATTCCCCATGGTATATCTGAAGAGAAATTTTAAATCAATCATAAAGTAAGACAGTATCTGTTACTCAAAATTTTAATGTTGTAATCTACAGGAATGCTTTCAGATAAAGAATTCTTTCTGCCAGCAATGAAAATTAAATGCATAAGAAAGATCCCACAGTTAAAAAAAAAAAAATCATTAAGAACTATCCACAATGAAAAGGAAAAACAACCTGACCCTAGCTCCTGGGACTCCTGGCAATGGCTGTGTCCTGAGGAGTGCCATGTGGGGGAAAGGGGAGAGACCCAGAACTTCTCTGCCCAGAGCAGTTCCAGAAAGCACTCACATTTAAGTTTAAGAAGACAAGGCGCTCCTAACATCTGTCCAATATGAATCTATTCAATATCTACTAGTAGTGTTCCTAAATGGACTTTGGATGTAAAAAAAATGCAATGAGATGAGACACTTTATATGCTGGATTACAGTGCAGGATTGTGGATCTTATCTAACTTACAAACCATAGTAGAATATTATAGTTCTCTTTTAGCAGTTTTACTTAATTTATTTTACTTAAAACTTAATTTAGTTAGGGTTTATTTACATTAAGTTTAAATATTTTAGGAGTTAGTTAAAATTTATTATTAACTGTATTTCAGTCTTCTGTGAGTGACACATGACACATGTGTTGAGTGGCCCTTAACTGCAATCCTTGGGACCAGAAGTGCTTCAGACTGTTTTGGATTTTGAAATGTATGTATATAAATAATCGGATATCTCAGGTCTAAATACAAGATTCATTTATGTTTCATACACACCTTATACACAAAGCCTGAAGGTAATCTTATACAACATTTTTAATAATTTTGTGCACGGAAATGTTTCATGGTTCTACACAAGTAGAAACTTATGGTATCATATCCTACATTTTTGGATTAAGGATACTCAACTTGTATTTAAAAAACAACACAAACACACCACACATGCAAATGTTAATGTTTAAGATAATAGCAGAACTGATGCTTTTACTACCCACCCCACTTCTCTACCCCCACACCTACAAATATTGAAAGAAGCACAGAGCATGGCACAGAGAATGGCCACGGCTCAAATTAAAATGCCATACGAGTGAAACACAAGCAGATTTTAAAAAAGAACTTTATATAAAGGCAGATATGTAATGCTGTTTAAAGAGACTGGCTCTGGAGTCATGCAAACCTGGGTGAACAGGGCTGCCAAGGCACCGCTCCTTACATATCTTACCTAAGAGCATATCTTATGCTTTCCCCAGGCCTGGCATATGCAATAAGGATGGTGCCATCCACCTCAGAGGGTGCGTGTGGCTGGTAGTGGATGCCACAAGACGGGGCAGTGCCATGCAGTAATCTGCCACAGCCCACGGCAGCTCTTTTCTCTTCATGGTTAGGGCTGCTTGGTTTCTAGGTTACACTATCCCAGCAACAGGACAAGTCTTCATTTATTGGCAAGGTGACACTCTGGGGCTGTTCTGGGCTAGAATCCTTCTCATCAGCACGATGAGGGTATAAGGGAGGAATGAGGAATGCTCATGCAGAAGGAAAGCACCCCTCAGCAGCCACCCTGAAGTCAGGAGGGTGCTTCAGGGAGCCACCTTCAGGCTGCGCTCTACCAGCTCAGCACAGCAAATCTGCCTCTGAAAGCTCAAGACAAAGACCTACCATGTTAAGATCACCTTGTGTGTCATGCAGTATTTAAGATGTCACTTGTGCCTCTCTGATGAAAAGTTAACTACATTATTTTTTGATTGCACAATACTCAAAACAGAAACTAGATATATCATTTGTAATGGTTATTTTGAGTTAAGCTTTTCTCACAAGAGTAAGACATAAAATTATATGCTATATAATATGTAAATGATAACAGAAATCCCAGCACAGCAATTGCTCGCAGGATTTCTAGCTTTCCAATCCTCTTCTGATGCTAAGCACACAACAATGGTGGGTCCCTCACCATGCAGCATTGCTTTACATGTGACTTCAGCTGGTCAGGACATAGTTGAGCAGGAGGCCTTGCAGAGGTTCAAGGTTAAGACCCAGGGCTCAGACAGAGTGTCTGAGGCAGAAGCAGGGCGAGAAGAGAGCACTTTCTTCCTTAGGGGAACACTGTCCAACAGGGTCAGCTACTAAAAAGAACAAACTACACCATGGAACTCACATGCACAAACAGCAACACTGAGCATCCATCGCATTTTCCCTATGTACAAGCACACAGCGAGGCACACAGTAGAGACTCAAAAATTAAAAAAAAAAAAAGCTTAGACAGTAAGAGAAACTCAAGAGATATGAAAGCAATTTTGATATGTAAGAGTTTTACCTTCATCCTGAGCATGTTGTATGAACATACCAATAACCGAACTAATATTTTTCACAGCAGTTGGAAATCCTTCCTTCAAACCCAATTGGCCCAAGCGACCTAGGGAAAACAAACAAGACAAAACACAGAGAGTCCTTGGTGAGATACTGATCATTCTTTGTATGAATTTTGATTTGTTCCTGTGATCTTAGTGCTCTCTGGCTAAGAACCCTGAACTAAAGTTAAAAGGGTGACTGCTCCTAAGTGAAAATGGGTGAACAGCAAGGCAGCAAGACTTCATGGAGCACATTGGTCTTCCAGGAGTGCCAACAACTGGTACAGTGCTTGCCTCACATGTACAAGGCTGTGGGTTCAATCCCCAGCACTACAACAAAGAAGGAAGGAAGGAGGGGAGGGGAGGGGAGGGGAGGGGAGGAAGGAAGGAAGGAAGGAAGGAAGGAAGGAAGGAAGGAAGGAAGGAAGGAAGGAAGGAAGGAAGGAAGGAAGGAAGGAAGGAAGGAAGGAAGGAAGGAAGGAAGGAAGGAAGGAAGAAAATAAAAACCCAGGGATGTCAACAAAATGGCCAACTGTCTCTGCTTTTACCACAACAGGATGACAAAGTGCAGAAAATGTTTCAGCAGGTCACATGTCAATGGCTGACTTCTATTAGGTTAACAGGTCAAATATAAGACTGTGGTCCCAGCCAAACACATGCTTTTGATCTAACGGCTGTTGTAATACAGAGAGGCAATTTCTTATCGAGGCTACAGAGTCCTGGGAGGCCTCAAAGTCAAAAGGATCCCACACCAACGCTAGGAAACTCTCTCTCTTCAGCACTGGGACAATGGTACAAAGACAACAGCAGATCAGTAACTTCGGCCAGCACAGGTCAGAAAAGAGGCACCTCGTTGATAGGGGCCATTTCT